AATTAAGTTATTTAAAAAGAAATTATTGTGAGAAATATTAGAAAAAATTGAAGAATTTGTGGTAATTTTATACTTTATGAGGCAAACAAAAAAGACACCAAACTTCAGAATTTTCTTATAAATTCTATGAATTTAATTTTTTCCAGTACTTTTAATAAAAATCCCTATTTGTAAAAACAGTAATTCGCAAAAATGATAATTCACAAAAACGCCATTTCGCAGAAACGATGATTCACAATGAGAAAAAAATTCGGATTTTTCGGAAAAATAGCAATTTGGTTAAATGTCATTTCACTGTAATATACAGTAGACAGTTCGGTCAGATGTAGTTCCGTAAAATGTCAGTTCGGTGAAACGACATTCGTAGAATAATCATACGCGCTGAAAAAGGTTTAGAGAAATAGATTAAATATAAACATTTCAAAGTCTAAACGGCTTAAAACAATGGAGACGCAGAGAAACATGAATATTGAATAGAAAACACATTGTATGACGATGAAATGGAAGTTAAAACGGAAACTCTAACTATATTCAAACATAGTTAAACTTTAAAACAGTTATTTTCCTTGTTACAGTTACATATGTACGATTTATTCATTCATAGATCAAGGTTAATTTATTATTTTATAATTATTTAGTCCTCAAATTTGAAAAAAAATATATTTTAATTGTAGGGCGAACAATACTATTGTGCTGAATGCAGAAATTGCTTAAGGGCATCCGGGAAAAATCGAGCCCAAAAAGTGTTTTCCCGCGTGTCGTCTCACTCCTAAATAATTAGAGATATTTAGTTCGGATTTATCATGATAATTAGGGGGATTCATGATGATAAAGAATATTCTCGAAAATTGCAAGTAATTTTTGAAATAAATATTGAAAAACGAAATTACAAAAGTTGGATTTTTGGCGAAAGTGAGAGACAATATGGCGGCGAGCACACAGACAAGTGGATCTATGTGTCAGTGGTCAAGGAGGTGGCGCCAATTCTCGGAAGTGGTCGCGAGTTGAACTGAGGGAAATGTATTAACCTCAAATTACTCCACTTTCAATCGTTAATCAAATAATTTCCTCGCAAAATTATTGCAAAAACGGAGAGGGCCGCTCCTCGGAGAGTCTTCCTCCATCACCCCTCCAAATATGAACCCGAAATATTTGATTCTCTCAAAATGAGACGTCTATACTGAACCGTAAAAAACCCCTTTTTCCGTATATTTAAACAATTTTTTTCAATAATTATTTATTAAAATTTCTCTAAATTCCGAGAGGACCGCTGGTCCCAGAGCATTTCTCTATATTTACCAAAAAATCCCGACTCAAAATATTCTTTTATTTTTAAATGAGACGTCTATCACGAAACCAGTATTATTTCCCGGATGCCCTTACCCAGCAAACACGTTACGTAAGTGTTACATAACAAATAAAGCACCTTGTTATGTCTCACTGTGACAATATTGTTATGTAACAACTACATAATGAGATAGTAACAATATTATATAACACTGTTACTGAATGGTGATATAATAGTTACATAATTTTTTCAAATAACTATTATATAACTGTGTGATATATTCATTACATCACAGAGTGATAATTTTTGTCTTGTTAGATTGTTCTCTAATTGTTACATAACTGTTACGAAACTGTGTGACATAACAGATACATAATTTTGTTATAATTAATAAAGTAGGTTTCATTATTATATCACACTGTGACAATATTATTATGTAACCATTATATAATGAGATAGTAACACTGTTATATAACACTGTTACTGGATGGTGATATAACAGTTACATAATTTTTTCAAATAACTATTATATAACTGTGTGATATATTCATTACATCACAGAGTAATAATTTTTGTCTTATTGCATCGTTCTCTAATTGTTACATAACTGTTACGAAACTGTGTGACATAATAAATACATAATTTTGTTATAATTACTAAAGTAGGTCACATTATTATATCACACTGTGACAATATTATTATGTAACTATTATATAATGAAATATTAACACTGTTACTGGGACGTGATATAACAGTAACATAGTTTCATAACATACGTATTATACAACAATGTGATACATTCTTTTAAACTGCACTTAAATAAATAATAGGCAGAATGTGTTTTTTACATAGGCAATTTTTTCCTAAAAACAAAAGCAATACACGCAAAGCAATTGCTTATTCTTTTTAAAAAGAAATTTTTGCTTTAGTTCCTAAGGTTAACATAACAAGGCAAATTTTAATTTGAATATTTAGAGAATACTATATTAAATAATAAATTTATTTATTCCAATATTCACAACTAATCCAATGAAGAGATTAAACCTTATAAACAGAATTAATATTATATATATATATATATATATATTCATTTTTACTATCGTGAATATAATGATAATGTATTTTTATAGTTTATTATTTAAAAATTAAAAAATTATATTTTACATTTTTATTAATTATATGTGACGCGATTTGAAGAAAGGGAACTTAGAAGCAAAAAATTGTAGGCTATGTTTGCAATTTTTTAAATGAAAATACAAAAAAGTAACAACCGTCAATATAAATAACTGACATTTTAAGTCTTTATTACAACTAAAATATTTAAAAACAAATTATTTAAATAGCAAACATGTTCTGTAACTGTTACGTAACATTTCTGTAGTAATAAGAGCTAAATTACGTAACTGTTATGTAATTGTTATGAAACATAAAAGTAACAATGTTCTGTAACTGTCGTTACAAAATTGTTACGTAAAATTGTAGTCTCTCTGTTACGCAATAAAATTATGTAATTGTTACATAACTGTTATGTAACATGAAACACTATTTTATAATTATTGTTTCGAATAAATATTTTTGATTAAAAATCTAGTTTAACTGTTTAAGTTTATTAATTTACAATAAATTATTATTAATAATTATTATCAGTATTATTTATTATAATTATTAATGTCCAAAACTTTTAAAGAAGTACGTAAAAGTAAAGTGGGGTGAAGAAGCCGACTTTTGGAACATTTTACGATATTTAATATAATATCACTCACTTTTAATTTTATTTAAAATTTTTTAACGTACTCTGAAAAGTTTGTCTATTAATAATTTAAAAAATATCTTAATTTTTTTTGTAAAAAGTTGTCAGAAATTAATAAAGAAACATTTTAATTTGAACAAATTTATTTAAAATTAATTTAAAGCTTATAACTCTCAAAATTTATGTGAAGAAAAATAGAATTTTCAGAATAAAATAAAAATTTGTAATCCCGATTAGTATAATTGTAATCGTTTCTTTTTGTTACTCACATGTGTGTGACATTGTTATGTGAATGCTACAAAATTGTTACTTATATGTGTGTAACATTGTTACGTAAATGTTACAGAATTGTTACTGAACACTGTGACTAATATGTAGTAGATATTTTTATTAACACGTTAATCGTATATTAGAAATAAAAAAATCACAAGTTTGTCTTTGTTACGTAATAGTTACATAACAGTAAGTAACAGAATATACGGCACTGCAGTTGATATAGTAGATTAGGAGAATTCTCATCCAGCCTTCAGTGGCCGTGCGGTTTAAATGCGTTGCGTCGGGTCGTCAAGGGCGGGGGGACGTGAGTTCGATTCCACATGCGAGCGGATATTTTTCATTCTAAGCGTTATGTAAAATAATAAAATTACTATTTAATCTGTATATAAGTGTTGTGAAATGTGAATAAAATAAACTTGTGAACATGTTTATAAATAATATTAAAGATCTGTAAAAAAATCAAGTTTAAAAAATGTACTAATTAATAAATCAGTTTTTTACTAAAATTATTTTTGGATATTACCATGTCAAATGGCATTTGTTATTATCTATTGAATAAAAATAATAACAATAATTTTCACGTAGGTCATAATAGTGATGTTACAATTATATAACAAGCTCATCAAATTATGTAACAGAATCTCATAATTGTGATATAATAATAAGTCACAACGTGATATAAGTGTGATATAACAATTATGTAACATATTTACATAACTGTGATATAATAATAAGTCACAACGTGATATAAGTGTGATATAACAATTATGTATCAAATTCTTCTAATTATGTAACATATTTACATAACTGTGATATAATAATTAAATATCACGCTGCAACATAATTGTTATATCACCCTTCTTGTAACAATTATGTAACTGTGACCCTCATGTTACGACATTTCGTGTCACATGTTCATATCATGTTATATCACGTGTGATATTCTGTGACATAACTGTTACATAACTGTTATGTAACAATGTTTGCTGGGTAATTATTGTAATATATATTGTGATATTGCATTGAATAATTATAGAGAAAGAAACGTAAAAAAAAGTAATTTTTAAAAGAAAAAAATACGTCACTAGAGAATAGCTCTTTTGTTCTATTCACGTTACAAATTGTCTTTCTGCAATTACTTCATACTTCTTTTGCATTGTTGCGAATCCTCTTTACCCCCTTTGTTGGGCACCTCAAGAATTTGTTAAGTACTTTTGTAATTAGACAATTAAAGTAATGAAAATATAATATAAAGAGAAACAAAGCCGTGGACATGGAGATAATTATTAATGCTTCACATTAATTCAAGACGAAGCGAGAAAAATAGTGAGTTTTGATTAAATACAATTTTAAACATCGAGAAAATATTGTTTAATAAAGTTGCTATTTTTTTGTAATTATTGAATGCATGGAAAACAAAGTTTATTATAGGTAGTTTTTCTTTGACAATTTAGGTCGGAATTATGAGAATGTAAATAAATATAATAAGTTTTGTTCTTTGTGCTTGATTATTAGAAGTTATTTTTGTTATATTCTCAATCTTGCTTTTAGAAAAATGACGAGTCCATCCGGGTTAGAAATTTTTAATTTTGAGGTTATAATGCAAAATCATCAGCATCATTAGAATCACGAAGTAGTATGAATAATTTATGAAATTAATAAATAATTAGAAATTAAAAATGTTACCTTATATAAAATGTATTCCTTCTTTCAACAAGCAAGATAAGTTTTTTATTAAAAGGATTATGGTTAACATTATTATTTATTATTATTTGTGACACTTATTCCTCTTTTTTGTTGTTTGTTTATACAATCCTTTTAATTTAGTCCCTGATTCTTGAAAATTTAAAGGAGCATTCTAATTGGTAAGTATTATTAGCTCTTCTACAATATTCTGTGCTCCTGTTACTTTTTCCGTAAAATAAACCTCGAGTAGAAATATTGATATCGAATCAAGTATCGAATGTCAAAGTCGAAATGGTCGAAATCAACTAATTTCAGATCGTTTAAAAATTATACTGATCTGTCAAAGTCAAAGTGTCATAGAAAAACAATTTTTTGACATTTTTGGTCACTTGAATTGCAAATTAATAAAACTTAGTTAAGAAATTCATGTGTTAAGAAGGTTAGAATATAGTCCTTTGATTGTTTATTATGAATGGTGCACTTAATTTTGAGTGAAGAAAAATTGAATAATATAAACAAATATAAAATGGTATCCTAACCTTTAATCGCAATATAGAAATTTAAAGTTTAAACTTGTAAGTTTTTATACCAACAGAATTTTAAAATGGTAAGTATATTTATTATTATATATTTATTTATTATTTTAAAGTTTTATCCAATATAAAAGAAAAGACGTACCATTCATTTTTTGTAAGTTAGAAAATTTTTAGTTATGCTTGAAGAAAAAATTTTTTCTTTTCGCATACTTAGGAAAAATTTTAGTATTTTGAAATTTAAAAACCTTTTTATATTATTTCTCAGTCTTTAAACTTAGTTAAATACTTCATAAAATGTAACAAATATGAAATAACTTTTACTTCTAAAAAAAATTTAGAAATTTAGATTTTCTTCCAAATATTGCATCAAAATATCATATTTTTTATTTTTAGTATTAAATGTAACTCATTTCTATTTTTTAGTGCAAAAATAACTATAAACAACTGTCAAAAAATATTTTTGAACCATTTTTCTATTTTAAATTTTCGACTTGAACGAGAGCTTTTGAATAATTAAAATTTTGTAAAATTTAATTGAAAATAATTAATTTTTTTCAAGTATTTTATTAGAATTTTCGAAAATCAACTTTTGAAGAATTCAATTGCAAATTTTTAAAAAAAAAACGTAAATTTAAAAACGAAAATTAATGAAAATTAGCTTATTCTAATTTTTTTAAATTTATTATTTTCAAAACTTTTAATTACATATTTCCGAAAATTCAAATACATACAAAAAATAATAACATTTTAAAATTATTTTTAACATTTTGGAGAAAAAAATCATGTCAAAATATTTCATTAAAATTCATCAAAAACTTAATTAGTTTTTTTAAATAATACAAAAACTCTTTTAAGAAATTCAATATTGTTTTCGAAAAATTACATTAAAATATTTTTAAAAACTACTTAATTCTTAGAATTTATCATAATTTTTTAAGATTTAATTATCTTCGAATAAAGCAAATAAAAATTTACTTTTTTGGACTTATTAAAATTTGGGAGAAATCATGGTCATATTTATAATTAAAATTATTCAAAAATTTGATTATTTTTATTTTTTGAAAATATTGTACTTTACTAAACTTAAGGAAAAAGATGGACAGTTACAATTATTATAAAAAATTGAATTTTCATATTTAAATAATTTAATTCTCGAAGAACTTTCGGAAAATTATTTTAAACTATTGATTTAGAGATGAAGTTTTGTTGAAAATTATAGAAAATAATTGAATTCAGGAAGGGTTATAGTTGTAATTTTTAGAAATTATTAAATTTCATAAATTTTACTCATTTTCCGTAAACTTTCACACTTTGCAGTAAAAATAATTTTGTCAGGGACAATAATTTTAATGTCAGTAAATTGTCAGGGAAATTGATAAACTGAAACTTGTCACCACCCTGAAAAAATTTGTTTCAATTAAACTTAAATATGTTTCACTATATAGCGAAGATATTTTCAATTTGAATAAAAAAAAATTTGTTTGAATCAATAATAAATCGTTATTCTCAGTGTTTTATCACCTATTTTAAGAAAAAGAGATTCTGTGATCCTTGAACTGAATTTAATATTTTAATTAATAAAATATTCATTACTTCAATAGTTTCATTTTCACTTTTTATTTACATTTTTTAAACTTGTTATTTATAATTTCTAAAGGAATCTTTTCTTCTTTAATGTTCAATTATCTAGAAAAAAAATGCCTTATTAAGTAAAATAGGGAGAAACAATCGAAATACTAATAATTGAGTATACGCCTGTTCCACTCAACCGCAACAGTACAATTCGAGTATAATCAATCGATTTTACTGCACTATGCAAACTCAGTTTTAATTTTCTTTTCATTCTTCCAAAAAAAAACAAAACAACAATTTTTTAAGCAATACAGAAATTTTACAATTATATATTGTGTCAATATTACAATCTTTTTGAATTAATCTCTTAATAACTAATAACTAATTACAAAGTAGCAAAGCAAGTAGAATGTAAGAGGCTTGCTTACAATATTCAATTAGCACTCTATAGCTGTAGATTCTTTTTCCGTCAAAAGGAACAAGAATCTAGTGTAATAAAATATTAATTTTAATGAAAAGAAAAGTCTCATTTACTTTGAGAAAGATAATTATGAATAAATTTCAAGGGAGAATTCAACCTTGTAGACTCAATTTAAAAGGAGAGACTTAGGGAAGAAATTAAAAAAGTTTAATGAAAAATGGCAATAAACAGAAATTTTTTAAATAGCTACATATCTATGTATATAACTACTAACCGGGAAATAGCCGGGAAAAACCGAGAATAAGCCAGAAATTTTATGACAAACCGGGAACTTTTTCATTAAATTAAAAAAGTTTTCTTTTTTTACTCTTTTTTTAAAAAATCGCTTTTTATTCTAATTTTTATAAATATTTATACTGTTCTCTAAATTTGAATTAGTTAAAAATAATTAATTTGATAGTAAAAAATCATTCACTAATTCAAATATAGTTAGTAAATAAATTTAAAAAAAATTATCAAATTAATAGAAATTTTGTAAAATTCAACTGAAAATAATTAAATTTATTAAAGAATTCTATTAAAAACTTGTTAACAAATCGAATTTTCAAAGTATTTTAATTTAATAATTGATAAATAATTGAATTTTATAAAGAGTCACATTCTAATGTATTCACGTTTCTTAGTGCGAAGATTAAAAATTAAAAATTTAATTTAAAAAAAGATACACACTTAAAATCTTTTTCTATATATTATAATAATCGTCAGTTTCCTTTCCGTTAGCAAATTATCTGCATTCATTTGATTGTTTTGAAAATTAAATTTTGTGGGTTAAGTATTGGCATTTTTTATATATTTTTTAATGTCAAACCTTTTAAGGTTGAAAATACTTTACTTATAAGATTGTCTCGACTCTTTGGTAAAAAATCTAAAATTATCAAAAATTCGAAAAAATTTAAAAATCCGATTTTCTTTAAATTCAACATTTTTTCTTCTCTTTTATGGGATTTAGCTTCATTATTTTTGTGCTTTTGGAAAATACTTTACTTATTAAATTGTCTCGACTCTTTGGTAAAAAATCTAAAATTATTAAAAATTCGAAAAATTTCAAAAATCCGTTTTTCTTAAAATTCAACATTTTTTCCTCTCTTTTATGGGATTTAGCTTCATTATTTTTGTGCTCTTGGAAAATACTTTACTTATTCAAAACTCTCGACTCTTTGGTAAAAAATCTAAAATTATCTAAAATTCAAAAAAAATTCAAAAATCCGAATTCCTTAGAATACAACATTTTTACCTCTCTTTTATGGGATTGAGCTTTACTATTTTTGTGCTTTTGGAAAATACTTTACTTATTCAAAACTCTCGACTCTTTGGTAAAAAATCTAAAATTATCTAAAATCCAAAAAAAATTCAAAAATCCGATTTTCTTTAAATTCAACATTTTTTCTTCTCTTTTATGGGATTTAGCTTCATTATTTTTGTGCTTTTGGAAAATACTTTACTTATAAGATTGTCTCGACTCTTTGGTAAAAAATCTAAAATTATCAAAAATTCGAAAAAATTTAAAAATCCGATTTTCTTTAAATTCAACATTTTTTCTTCTCTTTTATGGGATTTAGCTTCATTATTTTTGTGCTTTTGGAAAATACTTTACTTATTAAATTGTCTCGACTCTTTGGTAAAAAATCTAAAATTATTAAAAATTCGAAAAATTTCAAAAATCCGTTTTTCTTAAAATTCAACATTTTTTCCTCTCTTTTATGGGATTTAGCTTCATTATTTTTGTGCTCTTGGAAAGTACTTTACTTATTCAAAACTCTCGACTCTTTGGTAAAAAATCTAAAATTATCTAAAATTCAAAAAAAATTCAAAAATCCGAATTCCTTAGAATACAACATTTTTACCTCTCTTTTATGGGATTGAGCTTTACTATTTTTGTGCTTTTGGAAAATACTTTACTTATTCAAAACTCTCGACTCTTTGGTAAAAAATCTAAAATTATCTAAAATCCAAAAAAAATTCAAAAATCCGATTTTCTTTAAATTCAACATTTTTTCTTCTCTTTTATGGGATTTAGCTTCATTATTTTTGTGCTTTTGGAAAATACTTTACTTATTAAATTGTCTCGACTCTTTGGTAAAAAATCTAAAATTATTAAAAATTCGAAAAATTTTAAAAATCCGTTTTTCTTAAAATTCAACATTTTTTCCTCTCTTTTATGGGATTTAGCTTTATTATTTTTGTGCTTTTGGAAAATACTTTACTTATTTAATAGTCTCGACTCTTTGGTAAAAAATCTAAAATTATCAAAAATTCGAAAAATTTCTAAAATCCGATTTTCTTAAAATTCAACATTTTTACCTCTCTTTTATGGGATTGAGCTTTACTATTTTTGTTCTTTTGGAAAATACTTTACTTATTTAATAGTCTCGACTCTTTAGTAAAAAATCTAAAATTATCAAAAATTCGAAAAATTTCTAAAATCCGAATTTCTTAAAATTCAACATTTTTTCCTCTCTTTTATGGGATTAAGCTTTAATATTTTTGTGTTTTTAAAAAATACTTTACTTATTGAATAGTTGGAACTCTTTGGTAACAAATCTAAAATTATCAAAAATTCGAAAAAATTCAAAAATCCGATTTTCTTAAAATTCAACATTTTTA